AAATAATTAAAAAAACGACAAATCACAGTTACTAAATAAATGACAGCCACGTGGAAATAAATTGACTTTTTGTTGAAATAGGTGAACGCGTCGGGTCACGACGAGGGCAAGTGCGTTAAAAGCAGCGTTTAATTGGATAACAAAAATAATCGAGATCGACACACATACAGATAAATTCAGAGTGGATTCGAGTTAGCGTGATCCATGGCGTGATTGTCATAATTATGACATCATATTAAAACTTCATTTGGTGGAAACACGTCGACCAAGCCCGAATTCTAATTTCATAAATTATTACGCAGATCAAGCTGCAAGCATGGAGGTAAAAAAGAACAGAGGTGTGAATTCGACATTCAACACCAATCACCAAACAATTCAGAAACTTTTAGCCTTCGAAAATGAAAACAATTAGAAGTGTGTAAGGGCTGTGTAATTTCCTGTTTGTCCGACGCTTCGTTTTCGTGTCACTGTCAAAATTATTGCTACCTTTTACCTAACAGGGACTAAACGATAATCACGATCGCAAACACTTGCCGGACGTCTCTCTCTCTCTTCTAAAATCCGCCTCGGTGATCATGGGCTGGTCCGGAATCTATTTCTTTCAAAAGTGTTGCGCCAGGTTTACGTTAAGTTGATTTTGTCCACTGATGTCGCACCTTCGGATCGATTAGAAACGTGTGAATACATACAATATGATTATACGTTTCACTGCAACTGCCCACAACACAACACAACAACTAAAAACTCTCTCTCTCAAAAAAAAAATAAAATAGACAAAAAAGAAAAAACGCCGACCGAAAAATGTAAATCGTTTAAAACTATACTGAATGACCAGTGTTATTACGGCTCGGGGGTATGACTTCTTCTCACATTTTTGTCATTTGGTGGCGCACTTTCCGCGAGAGTCGGAAATCCGGAAACAGTTGACCGTTTCAGGATAGGTGGGTGTGGCTACAGCACGAGAAATATCCCAAATTTACTTGAATACGAGTAATCATTTTCAGTGGGACACGGATCTAAAATGGGAAACGTGAGGGTGGGCATTGCACAGGCACTTTAAATGACATGTTTGTATTGTATTTTGATAGGATTGTCTGCATTGGTGATGATGGTTATATCAGTGACTGTATAAATGTCATATTAAAGCAAGCACAATGTGATGCTGGTGTTGATACCAAGAATATCAATTTCAGTCCTGCACGATGTCTTCTACCAATTGGAATCATATCAACAGGTTGGTCCACTAGTTATAGATTAGGAATATTCAGGTCTAGGTTGACAGCAGTGGGTTGTGTTGGGGTTTGGCTGGGTGCTTCACCCTTCACGTATGCTTGTTTTGCCGGACTATTTAGCCGCTCACAAAGAATACATTCAACCCCTCGCATAGGCCTTTTTTTGCCACTCGCAAATGATACATTTTTATCCCTTTTATACATTTTATCCTATATGCAATTTTGTATTCAACACTTTTTGCTGCTTGGTACTCGCATATGGGACTTTTTCTAGGTGGTACATACCTGGTTCATGATGTCACTTATGTCAAAGACTATCTATATATTCTCTATATTCTTTGCTTATATCAACCAGCTCAACAAACAAAATAAACTATTAAGATCAGTGCATATTATGAGTACTTATTTGTGGTGGTTTTTTGTATAAATAAACATATTTTACATTATAATCCCCAATGCAATGTTAAATCATATACTCTCCAGTAGAGAGTCTATAGTTAAATATTTGCTCTGTTAGAAGTTTTTTTCCAATAGAAACACACACAAACAAAAACTTGTATTTATTTGCATCAAGTGACTTATTTTGATTACATTTGTCAATCACTTAAGCACTACTGTTTATCATCTAAATATATGATGTTTTATGCGATGAAAATTGAGGTTATAAAAATTTATAAATTGAAGAGACAATTGCAATGTTAGTTTCATTGCCAACCGCCTAGGAGTCTTTATTGATAAAATCTTAGAAATTTGTGCTAATTGTTAAATGAGTTTTTTCTTATATTTATTATTGTCTTTGACAGTTTTGTTACTTTGTTCGTTTTTTGACCATAATTTTCTCAAATTATTTTGAGTCAAATAAAATTCTATATTGGTAATATTTTGCATGTTTTCTTTTTGTACAGGGCCACTGGATATAATATCTTCATCGAGTTGTGGAAGTAGTGATCCAGTACAAACAGCATTAAATATTATCTTTGGTAAGTATATATATGATATGTATCTAGTGTGAATATGAGGTTATTACG